AAAAAAAAAAAAAAAAAAAAAAAAAAAGAAAGAAAGAAAAGAAAAAGAAAGAAAGAAAAGAAAAGAAAAATTAGCCCTTGGGGTGGTACTTGCCTGTAGTTCCAGCTACTCAGGAAGCTGAGGTGGGAGGATCACTTGAATCTAGAATTTGGAAGTTGCAGTGAGCTATGATGACGCCACTGCACCATAGCTGGGTGACACAGAGAGACCCCCATGTCAAGAAAAGAAATACTTAAAAACTGTAAATTTGATCACCTGAGACTAATAATCTTTTTCTGATCTTAGAACACTATTCTTGCTTATGAAATTACTGCATAAAATATTGAAGGAGGTAAGGAACTTTCACTGCAAAATATGAGTCCCTGGTACAAAGAATATTTTGAATAGAAGGCCGTTCAAGGTTAAGAAACAGTGGAGGGGGCCCTCACTTCATCTGCATATACCGGACAGGCCTGATTAAAGGGGATAATTGACTCCTTTTCCCTTTTTCTGTTATCCCAAATTATTTCAGGAATGAGGGTTGGGAATGTCAGTGGACCAAATCATTTGGGTCATCGATACCTGTTTCCCAGGTTAATCTTCAAGTCAATCTATTTCTCCCCCATCCATTCAGCCTCTCTAGCAACCTCCTGGCTACTGCTTATACCTCAAATTCCTATAACCCTCTAATAAGCCTGTATAAAGATAGCTGAACTCCTTTGGAAAATTGGGTTATCTCTCTGTGATTTCTCCCACCCTGTGTGCATGGTAAATAAATATTTTATCTTATTTATCTGCTTTAAATGTGAGTTGATCTTTCAGGAAACTTTCAGGGGAAAGCCAAGCTTCCCCTCACCCCTATTTTATTTAGAAAATTAAATTTTACTGGGTTTTGAAAATATTGTGGTACTCCCTATAAGAAATAGCCGTGGGATCACAAAAAATTACTTCCAATCTATCTTCTGGGGCAGTGAGGTGCTGGTTTTGTTCTTTATTGATTAAAGGAACCAACTTGCATTTTTCCTGAATTTGATCTTCAATGCTTCCATTCACTTTCAAACTCCAAATTATCCAGGTTATAACATTCTTTATTTAAAAATAAATGTTCTACAAACCTAATTTCACTTCCTCAAAACTGTATGAGACTATCACATAACAAAAATCTTATAAAATGGGATTATGTTTACCAATAAATGGTTTCAAACAATGTCAAAGTCTGTAATAGAACAAAATCACCACGTGGGGTAGGGTTTATATTTAGTTACATAGGTACCTTTCATGTATGTAAAATGACATATGAATATATAGCTTCTACACACAGCTAAAACATTTCTGACCTCTGTTCATTTGATTGATAAATATCCGTAATATGTGCGACATACAAATATGCTGATAGAAGTAATAACAGGCATTGCTTCCGTAACAGGGCTGCCAATGACACATTTTGGCTCAATTTAGTTAGGCAAGAGGTGATTCATCTGTCTGTGGTCTCAACAGTATGAACATTTGGCAAAAAGCCCATGACAACTGACCCGATTCTGGAATATAAAGGACATGGATGAGAAGCTGAGAAAATGGATTACAAAAATGTGGCTACCAAAACTTCTCCCTCCTATGAGAGCTTCATTTAAAGCTGACAGTTTTTAGCATGATACAGGGCTGATGGGAAAAAGGACAGTTTAGAAAACTATAAAAAATTGTCAAGTTTTAAGGACTCACAGAAAGAAGAAAAAAATCTATGTAAGTTAGTGCGCTTTGCAGAGTTTCATTAGGCTGCGTTTATAGGGTATGAAAAGTTCAGGATCACTTCTTGACGTTTCTGAAAATCTCTGCATTCCCTCAGAAGCATAGCATGGAATTAGAAGCATCGTGCTTATGTCAGGTCTCTTAGGCTCTGAACCACTGTGGAACCGTGCATCAGCTCTTCAATATTTTGCGTGCCACAACTGGCTTAAGTTTTGCTCTGCATAATCAAAGCAACACAAATTGCCCTCTCTTGAAGCTCTTCTTAAGCTTAGAAACAATGGTGCTTTAGCTGGCAGGACAGCAAGCCGGTATTAGTCAGGATGTTTCTGTGCTGCATCACCGTGACGGCAACGTGACTGTCTTGGCTTAGGAGGAGTCTGGAACTCAGGAATCTTTAAAGCACTTATTTCCCGGGGGCAAAGGGGCTTGGGTGAGTCACCAGGGCACATGACAGCTGACTCTTGAAAAGGAAAGCAGAAGGCTGGAAATGAATCATTTGTATATAGTAGTCAGCTTGTGGTTGGAACTGTTGCCACAAGCCCAGCATCTGACCTAGGGGAGGAGGGAGGGTTTGGTCCAGCTAGCTCTGCTCTCAACAGCAGTGAGGTTAAGGGACAGTCACTAGGCTAGGTGCTGGGCAGACAGATTCTCTGGGGACGGCCATCCTCATGCGGCCCTCCCTTTTCCTAAGTACCATGTAATGAGCACTTCAAAAGTAAAAGTGGAGAGAGCTTTTGATGTGTCACTAATTACAGCAGGATAAGAAGAGAATGTACTAGTAAGGCACTTCCTAAATACCAGAAGCTTCTTCCACTCCATAACTAGCCATAATCATAGGAAGCTGACTGTCCAGTAGGTGTGTTTAAAGAACTGAAGTGCTGCCTCTAGCCACAGGTCTGAGTAGTTTCTGGGATATCTAAGTTCTTAGAGGAAAGCAAGTGGGAGTGGTCTCCCGGACTCTGAGCACAATCACTGTCTATGCAATTATGTAAAAGAACTGGAAACACTTTCACGTTCGAACTCATTTATTTTTGACTCTGTTATTGTTCTAAAGAAGTCTGGAAGAGTAAGAAAAGAGGATGACTGGTCCCAGTGTTTGAATCCCAAACCAAACCCTACCCAAGAACTGAGAGTTTTGTGTAATAAAATAGCTCACAAATTTCAACATTTCCTCAGACATCAGATTTGATTACCACAATGCTTTGAGATATCCAGACAGACATTATCTCAATGACAGGCATTGCTCAATGGGACGGGGTTTGCTGATCACGCCTGCCCACCCTTTTGGAACTCTGTTCTCTTCCTCTTAACCCTTTTGTTTCTCTTACCACACGTCTGATCCCCTGTTCTCACTCTCATTTGCCATATTATCTTTCTCTATCTGGAATTTAACTGGTTCAGTTCCTTTTAAAGACTCAATTTGGGCCTTCTCACCTCATACTATATCCCGATGGTCCTGTCTATACCAGTGTTTCAAACTGCCTCCCAAATTATGACCACTTTCCTAAGTCTTTCCTCCAGATCTGAGTCAAGACCTATTTTGGAACCTCCACTTAGAATTCGCCAGGGCACCTTGAACCTAGCCTGAACTGAGCTTAAGACGTTCTCTCACCACGAACCTTCTGTGGCTCTCCACCTTGGTGAATGCCAACGTCATCCATCAGTTGCACAGGCCAGTAACAAACCTGTGAATCATCTTTGACTCCCTCATCCCACCTAATCCATCAAGTTCTGTTGATTTTGCCTTGCACATCACTTCTTTTCCTCTTCACCACCATCTGGGTACAATAACATCATTTCTTGTACGGCACTGTAACAGCCTTCCTACCTGAGCTTCTGTAACCAGGTTTGCTCTTTGCCATTTTGTCCTTTTTTCCTTTTTTTAAAAAATGCATTATCTCTTCAAATAACCTTCTATTGGAAACTCTTTTCAAACTCCTTGTTGTTCTCAGATTAAGCATCTGAAGAGAGATTATGAAACCTTGCACAATCTGTACCTGCCCATCTCACCAGACACATTCACAGGCTCTTTGCTTCTTCCTCTCCACTCGACCCGTGCTGCCTGTGTGCAATTCCAAGTGGCCATGCTTCCTTCTTCCCAGCCCTCCAGATACACTGTCCATTCCTTGGAAAACTGTCCCCTACTTTTGTTCCTACGTCTTTTATCAGATTTCAACTCCACTACTATTTTTTCAAACAAAGACTTCCCGGACTCTCATGTTAGGTCAGGTCCCTGGAGTGTTATCAATTCACAGATATCCTACACACAATTTTAAAAATACTTAGTGCACTTGTAGTAACACACTTACTTGGGTGGATTTGTTAATAAGTTTTCTCTCTAGGAACCAAACTATTGCAACCCCAGCATCTAACATAGTACATAGCATTCAGGAAATGTTCAAAAGGGATGTGAATGAACAGTGGGTCCAGAACAAATTCAACTCGTTTCTGGTTTCCCAGTGAATGACCTTTTAAATACATAATACTGCATTATTCAAAGATAGTCTTAATGTCTTGAAAATACGTAAAACTGGTAACTAGAAATAATTTAAGTATAAGCAGTG